GGGATTTGTGGTTTTTGTTTGCTGAGGCTTTTTTTTGTGTCTTTCATTCTTTGAAAGAAGCAAATTCTAAGAGGATTGCATAACAGAAGTACCCACTTCAAAACAAAAGCTGCTTGGCGCAGTATCTTCTGCTAACATTCTGCCTCAGCTGTGCCATTCAATGCATTGCACAAGGGATTTTGTGTTGCTGTCAAAGAGAAGCTGCACAGATTTACTTGATTTGAAACAGAGATGCCTGGCAAGTTGTTATGGGCAATCTGGATGAATATGTGTTGGCATTTGCCTTATTTTCATTCTCTTCAAGATTCCAAATGATAACCATCTTGAAGGTAATTTGTTTTCATTGCATTAAAAATTCCGTTGGAAAGTTGCTTTTTATTGTAACTTGTTAAATGCTTAATTGATATCACATAATAAAAAGAATCAAAAAACCCCTCTGGTCCCTCTCAGGAGCTCAAGTTAGCTGCAGTGGAGCCAGCTCTGTTGCCATTTCCAAGTTGTTCTGTAGTGATCTAGCAATTCATCAGTGTCAATGACACATGGGAACTCTCATGTTTGTAAAAGCCTGCAAGGGATCCATGTCCTACATTTCAACAAAAATCACAAAATCACATTTCAAGGTGGTCAAGGTTAGGGAAACATCAGGCACATAATTGCTAGCCCCTTTCTGAAGTGGATGGTAAAACATGGAGAAACAGGCAGAAGCAAGAGGTCAGCAGCTGCAACAGAAAGGTGAATGCTCTTTTGAAGGACCTAGAAAATTGGAAGTGAAACATAACTGTCAGGATGCCAGAAACATTTGGCTTCTGCAGGAGGAGGAGTGGTATGAGAACCTAAACAGGCAAATATGTTGGTACATGCATGTCACAGAAATCACAGCAGAGCAGTCACGGAGGGACCAATGAAGATCTTCTGTGGTTCATTCCTTTATCCTCACTGGCCTGCGTCATGACAGAGACTCCTCTTCACTCTCTCTCTCCATGATCCCACCTTATTGTTTATCTTCTGAGAATCTGAAACAAGGCCACATGTGTGTGAGTTTGAGTCTGCCTCACACCTCACCATCTATATGTAAGGACAGACAAAGTCCTTCCTTGCCTGTGAAGGACTGCATCATAAAGTGTGAGATTCTTGGCTGCCATGTATTATGTTTTATGGATAATTTCCTTGGTAGACAAGGCAGCATGAGAGCAAGCACACAAATCCAATGTGTTCAGTATTCTCATTTAGATTTACTGAGATTATGATATGATGTGGTAAGTGGTTTGATATTTATGTATGTCAAAGCCTCTAAGATGTTTTCTACAATTCTTCTTGTTTTTCATTTCACAGGAGATAGTCTGCATTGTCTCAGGCTGATCAGGCAGTTTTGGGTAAAATGTCCAGATTTACATTGCTATGTTACTTTCTAACTTACTGCTAAAATTGGATAGGTTTTCCAGGGGGAAGGTTAAAGGAACCTGGTTCAAGGATGAGAAGCTTTGACAATTTAGAAAAGATCTAGGACTGCACTTGACAACTAGGAGTTATTTTACATATTGCCTGTCCTTAATACTTACAAACACAGCAGAGATATCATTTGGATCACAGCTACATGTTGTCTTCTTTCAGGACACAACACATAGAATGTACCCGATAACAATACTTCTGTATTCAAAGTAAAGATAGCAATGAGGAAATTCTTCCTTCTGATCCATCAATATGATCTATTCACTGAGATTGCACTGATTCCTTAACTGAAATTTTTGTTGGCAATTTGCTAATTAGCTCACTGGAACATTGAATCTTTATGATTTATCTATTGCTTCCATCATGTCGCAAAAATGAAAATATTGAGAGTGTTCTAAACACTCAAGTGCTAAGATATATTTTAAATGTCCCTCAATTGAGTAAGTAGATTAGTTTCTAGTGTATTATCTCTAAATCAATGTCACAGAGTTAAAACAGCAAACAGTTGGATTGTGAAAAATTATGTTCAGAATTACTTCATAGGAAATGGCCTTCATAAGAAACGGTGTAATCTTAGCATCCACTGATATTACCTGCAATCTTCCTGAAATTCTGAAGTCCTTTTACTTATGGCAAACCTGTTTTCTGCCTGCAGCAGTTTGTGTTTCTGTGTTTTGCCTGTTCTTCAAGTGGGTACATGTGTCATGTACTACTCTTGCTCAGGATTTCTACTTGTGATGGTTGCTGAAGACAAATCTCTCCCTGAAGATGTCAGTTCATGGTACTGGATGGGAACTCTCATAAATGTAATAATGTAGTGTTGCCTAGCCAGAAACTCCTGTAATAATGCAATTTTCTCCTTGTGTTTGTGGAATATAACACTATAATAATGTCATCTGCTTTCCATTAGTTGATTTTTAAAATACTTATAATTTTGATTTGGTTCCTATACTAATACAAGGGCTTAGGCTTATTCTAACACATATATTAATACCAAAATCTTAGAAACTCATGAGTGGCACACTTACTTGAATCTGGCATCATTGGTTACAGAGGGTCGAACATGTCCAAAGTCTAGACATGGTGTCTTGTACTCATGTTTCAGAATAAATTACTGAAGATGTATTTTTTTCCTTACAAAGTTGTCTTCTCCTGGTCTGAAAATCTCAGTTAATAAAATGCTGTGTTCTGAAATCTACCTAATTCCCACCAGGAGCAGCATGATGCTGTTTTCTTTTTAGCTGACTAATTATTATTATTGTAGACATGTTATTTACTCCAAAGTGGTTTGGGGATAATTGATTAGGTTGCACCATGTCATGAAAGAACAGATGGCAGGCTAGTCAGTTCATCCACAGCCTATAAGAATGCTGTGAAAATTAAAATTGAGGGGGGAAAAAAAAGAAAAAACAAGAAGAAAAGAAAAAAGAAGGTGACTAGAAGGGAATGAACTAAGCTGTGCTTGCAACACAAAAAACTTCTTGTTGTGGGTGGTCCTTTGGGAAGGTAATCGGAGATCTGCAATATGTCCACTACAATCAACAAAAGGGTACAATACTTCTCTGCAGGGAATTGGGTAGGGAAGAATTTGTTTAAATAAAATTGCAGGGTTGTAAGAATGTTAAACTAATTCTCTAATGTTCTGTGCATTGTCTGGGGAATTTTGGCTTTGCATCATTTGCTGTAGTGAAGTACTGAAAAAATATTCTATTAGAAGTGTTTTGGAATGTGTTAACATGTATTTTAGCTTTGGAAACCCTGACTGTGTTTAATGACAACTAAAAATGCCTTTAGAAAACTAGACTCTCTTGTGTTTTCTCCCTGAAACCTTTCCCAAATTCTTAGTAGAATTCTTTATCTATATGTTGCAAAGGGAGTTCAGTTTGCTGTTATTCTGGTTGGTCAACATCTGCATTTTAGTGTGTGTGTGTCCATGTTAATTATTGGTGATAAAATACCATGGATAAAACTGTAGGTGGGTTACTTGCATATAGAGGAGCGTAAAGTCTTGAACTAATCTCCCTTTAGGATTTGTATTTATGTGTGTGAAAATGGGGGAAACTGTAAGAAAATGGCAGGGAGAGAAATATTCCCTGTCCTTCCCAGAGTGCACCAAAAATACCAACTATACCTCCAAAATCCAAAGATCCCAGAAGAAGAGGTCCAGAAGAAAGTAAGTAATTTCCATTAATGCCTTACTCTTTCTAGGCCAGCTTCTCCTTTATGTATTAGGTGGTATTTTACTTTGCAAAGTATCATTTAGTATCAGCAAACTGAAAAGGCAAGACCTCAGCCTCACTCTCCCTGTGACGTGGAAAACAGGGAGTGTCTCACTCCCAGTAAACTGTCTCCCAGTAAACTGTGGTAAGATCACTCCCAGCAGGACTCTCCTCTCTCCCAGTTTAGCCCATTTTCTTTCCCTCAGCCTCCTATCAGTCTGGAAAAGATCAGCTGTGCTGCTCCCAGAGAGCAGCAGGGAGGAAGATTTACCTCACTATCCCCTTTCTCTTGTTTCTAAGTACTATCCTCTTTCTCTTGTCTCTAAGTAATCCTGTGTGAAGAAAGGAGAAAATTGCATTATTACAGGCGTTTCTTGCTGGGCAGCACTACAAGGTTAGATTTATGAGAGCCCCCATCCCATATCATGAGCTCAGTTTTTTAGGTGCTGGACAAATAAATTTCTTGCTCCTAAAATCTTAAAAGTCCCAAAAGAGAAGGAGGTCATAGGGATTTGTCATTAAACACAGACAAGGACATAATTAAACCTTCTCAATCTCAGCATTTCAGCTTGTATTCAGAATTATCAGAAATATCAGAATTTCGCAGTGTATTATCTCTCAGCCCAATGACCTTGCCTCTCTCAAATGTATAATTGTGCTTTCAGTTAAGTAACTCCAGAAGAAGCAACTTCTATTTTACTTCCATAAGGTAATCTTGTAGCTGTGCACTGGCAAAGTTCTGCTTCTTATTTTTTTATGCATGTTGGGCTTTTCACACATCTGGAACTGCTGTTATCCCAGTGAATGGCTTTTTTGCTATCTGCATGGCTTTCCCAGTACTGAGCAGCTCCAAAAAGATCTGTCCTCATCACCTTCACATGCCTTTTCTGTTTAAAGAAAGAAAATAACCAGAGTTTGATCACTGCATAAGTATTTGGGGGCTTATCTTTATCCAAAATTGTCTGTGAGGATTAGTTCTCATTGGATTGTGAGTCAAGGATTAATTACACTGACCACAGATGGGCACGGTGCAAAGAATATCGGTAAAGTCCCCACACAGCTCCCAGAAAGTACTTTAATTATGGCCTGCATAAATTTCTATTCCAGTTTTCGGACTCCCTTAAGCAGAGACTACCAACTGTCCTAAATTGCTTGGTGGTTTGCTGAGGTGGAAATGTATCCTCTGTGGACTAAACTCATTACTGGGAGGTTTATTAGCAAGAAGGTAGTCTAAGTCCATTAATAAATGAGGAGTGAGGCAAAATCAATTATGATTTTAATATGACTGAACCACTAAGCTGCTTTTTTTGAATCTATCGTTTAAAGGGATATAAAAGAGTATGGGCAATTAAGAAGGAAAGAAGATCATGGCTGGTGTGGTTATTGATAAATGCAGGTGAGTAAATACCTGGGAAAATTAAATGCACAGACCAGCAGTATTTACTTCACCTAAAGGAAATTTGTGAACTTTGTACTGAATCACTAAGAGGTAATTTTCAAAGCTAGACTGCTGTTCCCTGCAATAAAATAGAGTATGTTTATATTGTAAAGTGCAGAGGGAGTGAGCATGGGGAAAGAGAAATATGGTCATTTAGCATCTAGCAAGTGTGATTTGCCTGTCCAGTAAAATGATGGAGCTATTAAGACAGAAAATCTGAAAACTGGTAGCAAAAAATACTACATAAGTAGAAAGTATCTATTTCAAACTGTGTCACAGCAGCTTGTGTACTGTGGGTATTCTCAGCTGAGACAAAAGGAAGAGGACAGAGGCCACATTTCTGAATGTTAAGAAAACATTAGGATATGTGCTTCACAACATTGCCTTTGGAAAACAATGCCAAGTGGTGGTGATAGGAACACTGTTACTTGGGCTGAAAGTGGTTAAAGATTTCTAAAGTAGAAGTAGGAATGGATGACAACAGGGTTTTGACATGGGCAGTTTGAGTTTTTGTGGGAATTGTCATATTGCCTACTTTTCTACAGCATCTTTTTAACAGTTTGGAAGATTCAATAAATAATATGCGAAGCACATATTCCCAGTACCAAGCAGAAAACTACAATGAAATCTGTTTTATCTGTTCTGTGGTTGGATTCCTGGGCTGTTTTGGATAACACACTTGATTAAAGTGAGGTTTTTGATCCATTGTTCACAGATACCAAGGAGAAGGCTCCAATTATATTCACTCAATAGGGGTCAGTCTTGGAAAATTTTGCAAGACTTGAAGAATAGTCATGTAGGGAAATTTTTTGTTTTGTTGATTTCAGGAAAACCATTTTCAATAAATCTTTAAAAGGTGACCTGTCTTTAATTTTCGTCACTTCTTGTTGCTTTATTAGAAGGTCTTATTCAACTTTAAGGTAAGATTTTTCCTTTTAGGTCTTTCAAATTATGGAATTTGGGCTGCTGACATTTGTGATGGGTTTATAAGGAAATATGAACAGCTATTAATGGAATGACATGCTATATTAATTTTCTCTACCAAAATATTAGAAGAACATTTTCTTTGTCCTGATTGAATGGTCTAGTTACACTGGCTGAAATGTTTATGCTCTTACTGCAGTCTTTTGCTAAATATTTTATTTAAAAGATTACTTCCTGGAACAATTTCTACTAAAAAAAGCCTGGTAACATGTAAACTTTATAAAAGTATATGTAACATTTATGGCTAAACAGAATCTATGAAATAATTCTGTCACTGGTTTAGCAATAAGGGTGAAATTCTTCTGGCTTGAGTTTTGTAATCTCAGTATTTTCACATGACAGGACTTTTTACAACAATCAGCTGATTGCTCTTCATGACCATATACTTAGTTCTCTACGGAGAAATCAAAACATCTGTGAATTTCATGCTGAATTTGCCATCAACCAATTGGATTCTGGAAAACATAAAACTGAATTGATTTCTATGATAAGAAGCTTCTCTGAATACCAAGTTAAAGCCTGTGGGGATCTGTCCCTGAACGTGTTGAAATAAACTAACAATAAATCAAAAGCCATGCAAAGCAAAACTGGAAAATTTTATTAAGCTTTAAAAAAAAATGTATTGGTGTCAACAGTCATGGAGAGGATGACTGAAGAGGGACATTTTAATTAAACAGGTCTGAATAGGCCAAACCTCTTGAAAGCCTGGGAGTTTGAAATGTGGTTTACAGCATTCGCATCTTTTTGAGATTTCAATGCAAAATTGCCTTCCAGCAAAAAGATCCTCACGCTGAGCAATTGTCACCCTAGGAAAACAGTGGAATGTAGTGAAGTCACATCTCCTTCTCTGATCAAAGTTCATGAATCAGGTGCCTCAACATAGCACCCAGAGTACAACTATGAAAATATGGAATGACCTCTGATTTTGGTCTCTATCTGTTTAAATTATGTTTGCCAGTTTTAGATAGGCTTTGATGTAGCATCTACTTTTTTCACATGTACAGTTTTCTTTGATGGAATCTCTCCCCAGCCATTAAAACTTACATATTTTGACTTATTTCTTAATCACCCGTAGTTAATTTTAATCACCCTTAGAAATGACACATGACATTAACTTGACCACTCCCATCACTGTGTACTATCAGCAGGACAATAAAACAGAATTACAGAATCACAGAATAGTTTGGGCTGGAAGGCACCTTTAAAGGTTATCCGGTCCAACCTCCCTGCAATAAGCAGGGCATCTTCAACTAGACAAGGTTGTTCAGAGCCCTTGAATATTTCCAGACATGGGCCATCCACAACTTCTCTGACCAACATGTTCCAGTGTTTTACCACTCCCACTGTAAAAAAAATTTCCTTATATCTAATCTAAACCAACTCTCCTTTAGTTTTAAACCATTGTTTTCGTTCTATTGCAACATATCCTACTAAAAGGTTTGTTGTCATCTTTTTTACAGGTCCCCTTTAGGTACCAGAAAGTTGCTCTGAGGTCTCCCTGGAGCCTTCTCTTCTCCATGCTGAACAGTCCCAAATCTCTCACCCTGTCTTCACAGGAGAAGTGCTCCAGCCCTCTGATTGCCTTTGTGGCCTCCTCTGGACTCATTCCAACAGGTGCATGGACTCAGGACTCCAGGTGGGTTCCATGATGATGAGATAACTGCTTGCTTTCCAGCCTGAAGTTGCTGTCCCTCTGGTGGAGGCATTTCCAGCCCCAGCATCATTTCCCAGTCTAATATTTTCACACCAGCCCACTGCTGTGTATCAGTTCAAAGTGATTTCTGGTGGTGTGAACTGGTACACGGGCTCCTGTTTCTCATGCTCTTTAAAGGAGTTTCCATGTAGCTTCCACAGAGATGTGACATTGCTGCAGGAAAAGGGTTAAGGGGTTGGAATCTTGTTAAAGTAGGACTGCACAAGCTTCTCCACAACTAAACATGCTCGTTTGCTTTTTAGATGAAGGGTAGAAACTTGACTAACTATATCATTAAGCAAGCAAAGCAAACCCCATTTTTACCTGAAAGCTTGGTTCTTGCTTTTTGATTTTTGTGTGGGTTTTTCCTGCTCTTTTTTTTTTTTTTTTTGGTTCTGAAATGAAGTACATTTGAAAACTTGCTTGTGCTCTTTGTTTCTCAACTCTCAACTACAGTGTTGGCTTTACAGGCAAATGATGATACCACTTCTTACAAAGTAGTGCAGGAGCTGATGGTGGTGAAAGAAATGGAAGTAGAAGCTAGAAGGGACAATAAAAGACGTTGTGAGGTCAAGCTTGAATAATCTTCCTGCTGCCTCCTCAGAAATCCCACGTGCCTTAGCAGATGAGCAGGGAGACCTTTCCATGTTAACCACAAGTCAAGAGCAATCTGAGCACACTGTGTAGGCTTTCTGTATAGAGTATAAGGATGAGGGACTTGTGACCTAACACCAGCCAGCCATGAGACATGAAGAATGAATCTTCATTTGAGTTAGAACCTGTATGAGCTGGGGAAGAAGGATCTTAATTTTAAAGGTTGTAGCTGTCAACAACAGAAAGATTAATTGATTGATTTTTTAATTTTAATTTTTGAAAGAATTTTTTTTATTTAAGGAAGTGAGTGTTGTATCTTAAAAAACATATACATAAACTTGAAAGTATTAAGTGAAGCTGTTTATAATTTTCATATGTATATTTTTGGATCATATATATTTTTGGATCATGTATATTTTTTTTAATGGAAATTTTTGGATCACCATTAGGATTTTTTACCAGTGTTTCTCCTGCATTCTTGTCATGGTTTATTCCCCCCCAACAAACAAGTCCCACTCAGTCACACATTTACTTCCACACCAGTGGGATCAGAGAGATAATTGGAAGGGCAGAAACAGGAAAGCTTTTGCATTGACATACAGACAGGAAAAGCAAAAGCTGTGGACACAGACAATGCAAAGCAAGGAATTAATTCACTGCTTCCCATGGGCAGGCAGGTGTTCAGACATCTCCAGGAGAGCAGGGCCCCACCACAAATAAGCGGTACTTGGAAGACAAAAGTCCTCACTACAAACATCCCTCTTTCTTCCTTCTTCCCCTCAGCTTTATATACTGAGCATGATGCCATGTGGTCTGGAATATCCCTTTGGTCACCTGGGGTCACCTGCCTTGGCTGTGTCTTCTCCCTCCTATGAACTCCCAAATCCCTTGCCAGCATAGCAGTGCAAAAAGCAGAAAGGCTTTGGCTCTGTGCAAGCCTTGCTCAGCAATAACCAAAACATCTCTGTATTACCAGCCCTATGTTCAGCACAAATCCAGAACATACTCCCATGTTGGCCAGAGTGAAGAAAATTACCTGTACCCCAGCCAACATCAGCACAACTCTGTACCAATTTGCCCTGAAATTGGTATGCAGTCTAGGGCAATTTCCTAAAGGGACAGGGAACATGCTCCTACAGGATGGAATATATTAGAGCTTCCTGATACACAGATAAAGTGTTTACCTATTTACTATTTGGTCAATCCTTAGCCCTTCATTTAAATTTTACCTCTTTCTCATTCAGTAGATGAGTTTTGGGAGAGAGATATGACACAAGAAGCATTCAGCTGGATTGCTACTATACTGTCCGAAAGTACCTTTATATATATTGATTTATACCCCACATAACATGCATATATGAATACATATATGTACATGTATATGCATCTGTACATACATCAGCCACCTCCATATTTTTTATGAAAGATCAAAGCATATGTTTGGTTAAAAGAAATGAAAATCCTAAAACATAGTAACATCAGGAACTACAGGGAGTCTTGTTGCATGAAAAAGGAGAAGCATCATGTGCAGTGTTTTAGCCAGTTGCCTTTGCAAAGGCACATGCCCAGCTCAGGTGCGTAATGAATATGTCAGAAATCTGATTTTTGCATTTATTTTGGAGATAGTTGCATGTGCAGTCACTTCAATGTTCAGCTTTCTGCTTTGACTCTACAAATGAGATGACAGAGATTTCACTCCTTGTGCTGTCTAGACATCTTCTGAAATTTGGTCTTAAATTTGGTATATATCTTTCATGAATTAAGGGTCTTTGACAACCCATTGACTTCTGTATTTATTTTCAATAGAGTGATTGTCTCTTCTCTTGTTTGGCTACACACACACACACACACACACACACACACACACACAGAGGCTCCCCCTTTCCCCCACCCTCTGTTCAACTAAATGTATTCTAGACACTCTGTAGAAGTAAAATATAAATTAGTATTATTCAGATTGACAGGTTATTTTACACAATATTGTCCTATAATTCAAGCTGTGCAGATGCTACCTAGAATGTCAGAATAGCCTCTGCAATCAAAAACTTGATGATTCATGATCTCTGTGTCTTTTAGAGACACTTTGTAACACAGGGCCAGACTGGGAGTTTAAGTTTAGAAGGAGCATTGTTAATCTCAGGATAATTCTTTATTTATATCCTTTCTTTTATGGAGGTTTTCTACTAGGGTGATTAAAGCATCAAAACCTGCTCTGAGGCCACCTCTATTTCAGGGCTCTAAAGGAACTCAGCACTGAATGAAAATCATTCCAGGAACAATTAGAGAGAAGGTCCGCATAAATTCTTCCTGTATCCAGGGCATTAGCATCACCCAAGTGTCTCTTGCTTACAGTACGTTGTGACAAAGTAAAAGCTATTTCAGCTGTTATTCTGTGATGGCTGTTATTTATGGAACATAAAAGGATACTGAAATACAAAAGGGTTTGAAAAGACCAGGGTAAGATCAGATAAAAAAAAATGAGAAAGAAACAGGCATCTTGGGATGGTAACAACCCTGCCATGTACTGACAGGGAGGTTGTATATTTTTAGAATATACTGAAAGGAATGGTGCTTTTACTTAGGTTTTTATGGTTTACCATGAGATGCAATTTTCTGGCCTTATATGCAGTTGTAACAAAAGTCAGAGAGATTTTATGATAGCTGCCAGAGTTCATAAATGATGGCATACACTAAAATATTTATAGAACTGTAAAATCTTGATTTCTCTCTGGTTTAGCAGATGGGGTCCTAAAACTGGTTCCCAGATTGTCACATTTCTTTACCCTTTGATGACAATGAAGCCTGTTATCACTTTTTTCCCCCCTCTGGAAAGCAAGTTCACTAGTGTAATCAAGTTCATACTTCTATCCAATTATACACACCAGGATCTCATGAATTAAGATGTGTCAGCCATATAAGATTTGTAATCATTCAAGGCAAAGGGCCTATTGTTAAACACCAGGATGTGAGGAGCCTTGCCATGTCTCTGACCAATGACCATTGACTCATGTCAGTATAATTGCTGGTGAAAATCTGCTTCCTGGCAATTAGGCTGCATCCACACAACACAGAGAAATGCTACTTACACAACAGAAGTGGTGAACTTAGGTGCCTGTTTGGTGCAAAGCAGCAATATAGCACAGCTATTTGCTTCTCTTCAGGATGTTTTTGTCCTCAGAGAAAATGTCTGTAGCACTGCCAAACTCAGCTGTACTTCAGAATGAATACTGATGGTTGGGGTAGCAGAAGCAGAATAAATAATGTCTGTAGCCGAACTTTTCCGTTGCTGATCAGGATTTACTCTGCATTAGAAGATTATTCACTAAAATTGAAGATGCTGAAAACATGAAGTAATGTCCCTTCTTTATTGTATTTTCATGCAATAGTTTCTACGCTTTTGCAGATAATCAGCAAATGAACATGCAGTACCTGCATATATACACATTTTGTTGCAATAGTTGTCTGAATATTTACAAGATAGAAAAGCAGAACTGGATCTGGGGTCCCATCTTTCTCGAAAAACTGGAAACATTTTCACTGCTGAACTTAGGGCATCAGGCAAAATATAAATTAGCAAAACAGGCGACCAAGAAGGGAGGATCAAAAGAAGTAAAAATGGTGTGATAAATATGTTTTTAAAGCCCAAGGCCATATCAATCCAGTGTCATTTCTCTGTATTTAAATAAATGCAAACATCTGAGCACCAAAATAATTACGAATCTAAATGCATTTCTGTTTTGGCATGCTATTAGTATTATCTACTGGCATTATGCCTATAGAAGAGGAAGAGATGACAACCAGGCTCCCATACCTGAATGCCATGGATGATTGTAGCATGTCTAAATACCAAAGTTCAGAGTCTGGTCTTCTAAAAGATCCCAGCAAAAAGCATAGCTTCATCAACAAAGCAAACCCATTTGAAATGGCTGAGAATGTGGACAAGGTGATAGGTGGGATATTCTGGGATTTTGAATGATTTGTTTGTTTTGTTTGGTTTTCTTTTGTTTTGTTTTTTAACACAAAAAGCTTTTTCTTTTAGCTTACAGATCCTAGCTTCCTAATTCCCCACCATTTGGGTTTTCTTTTCCTTTCTCTGTTTCCATCAGGAGAACAGAAGAACAAATAAATGATAAATTAAAAGAAAGTAGGTTAAACACAGGAGTTAGAGAAATATCTCTTATTCAGATTCTGTAGGCAGAGCTTTAATGAAAACTACAGTGATTAGTATTTTCATTTTTGTAGGAAATGTTTGTTTCCTCAATAAAGTGATTCTTATTTCCAAAAATGCAGTATTTTTTCTCCCTCTCCTTTTCTCCTCCTCTCCTCCTCTCTTTTTATGTGTCTCCTGG